CAGCCAGTCATACCCAATCTCGAGGGTTGGCACCCCCGAGATTTGAACCCATTTTTGTTCGTATTTTACGCTACAGAGCAGTATAAATCATAATGGACGTTAACAGCCAGTGCACTTCGGAATTTGCACTTAATCTTACCTTCATTACTCCCGCGTCATCCATTTCGGATTCAAGGAATATGCTCTCCACAGGAGCATCAAAAATGATCTATAATCGAAATGCTCTTCTGGTTACATGCCACCGTGTCATAGATAGCAGATTGTTTCACAGCTAAAGTTCATTTTGTCTCATTTACCCGCCTGCTATTATCTGCATGAAGGTCTAAAGGTCCTTAGCGAGAAACCGAGCAGTACGCTGACCCTTAACCAGTCTCTTCTAACTGACAACCACGAATTAAATTTCGTGAAATACTGCGCCCTCGAGTAGGGCGCATTTTCCATGCAAGGAAAATCGTTCTATGTTCCATTCCTAATAAGGTATAGAGAGCTGATATAATTTTCCAACGGCTGTGAGCTATTTTGTGCACGTCAAAAGCAGCCTTTCTACATGATCCGATACAGGGCTTTATGCATAGATATGTCATGGCCTCGACAACTGTAGTAAAAAAACCTTTTAAATCTGAAAACGAACCTCTCTTCAAGAAAAAACTTTGAAGAAAACGAAATTTTCTGCTTAGACATTACCGGAAAGGATACTTTTCTACATGGTTTCTTTTAAATATATGTGAATTTATAAGGATATCAAAAGTCAATGGGAAACATTTATACTGCTTAATTGTACTGTACTTTCTATTGACGGCCGAACAGAAGCTTGGAGTTCTGCCCTCTGTTAACTGGCTTCGCAGCAGTACGTTAGCGATAAGGCATATGCTTAACCTAAAATGAGTACTTCCGATAAACCCATTTACTATTAAGAAAACTTACACATTTGTTGCCTTGGAAGATAAGAATGAGGCCTAGCTACCACGCTTAGTTCAAAAAAACAACTTAATCTTGACAAAAATGTCCAGGATCACCTTTGTTGACCTCCCTGATGAGAGGACACCTTTCATTTAACTACAACCAGCATTTACCTGGAACGACAATAGGACCACGCAGGTGGTAAGTACTGCCCTCTGTTTTCCAGTTCCAACGAATGTGCATTGTTAAGAATATTCCTCACTGCGCAGTCCAACTATAAATCAAGTGAAAAATATTGCCCGCCTTGTTGCTTTGGTTTAATTTGGACGAAAGCATTTTAAGCACCAAGGAAAAAAAGTCTTGCAGGCAGGGGGCTTGACGTGACTTTCCTTACGCACAATTCGTCATGGTAATGTCCAAAGCTTATGTCGCTTAACTGATGACTCATTGAGTGACAACATTGAGAGAATCGGAACAGATCAAATTTCTAATTACTTATAGGTCTGTCGCAGTTAACAACGAAAGGTCATTCTAGCCAAGACTAACAATAGGAAAAAAAGAATTGTTATATGCCTGAGATAGGATAATATTTTTTGAGATCAAACCGTTTAGCGGTAAACTGAAGACCATTATTCAGTGTGGAAATCCCGTTCCAATATCTTCCCTGAATTCACGAAGAATTTTTCTTTTGTTACCAACAACTCTTGCGTATTCACTTCAAAATCTAAATGTAATTTGCCCGGAAAATATATGCTAAAGGAAAATAGTAATGAAATGCTGTTTTAATCCAACTTAATCCTGTCATAGCAATGAAGAAAATCCTAGGGAAAAAACTGGAGATAATATGAAATTCTAACAGATAGCAGTTTTTTCAAGGTCAATCAGAGTTTTCGCCTCCTTATTTCATCTCAGAAAGTAAATGCGTTTTTTTCAGGTTAAAGGTTTCATTAATGAAAGCATTTGGTAGGATTAAAAGCAACTTTTCTGTCTCGGTATAAAGTTTAAACAAGCAACTGTCAGCGACAGCTTCCCAGTGTTGTCTTTTTGTGGACTGGCTAGTCGTTAAACTGTACTCAAAAAGTGTCGCAAGTTAATCGTCTGAGACGAATTGCTCGAAATATTATAACGTGAAGTAGACTTATTTTGGTTTCCACAAAATTTTGAGGTACGGGATTACTTGATAGGTAACCTCACAGAATCTCTGAGCCAACGCCCGTTGCTAAATTAATTTTAAAAAATATATAAATCTTTTGCAAAGTGACGATGCAATTTATTGAATACAATTGTTTGGATGGAAAAGGATAATCTGGTGGCGGAATAGGTTTGGAAATCCAAATTATTTTTTGATAAATTGTTTTAATATTCTGGTCACAAATGCAAACGTTAATTTCCCTTAAACATCGATCTCGATACTCCAGCTGCTCGCGCCGAAATTACTCTAAAGTCCAAGGCAACTTAAAGAATCAATGTGGCGGCTCATTATGTAGCCTCATTAAACTTCAATACTAACGGTTGGCAGTGACTTTACAAATATCGATCATCGGTGTAGACACTGCAGCAGATAGCAGTGCACCAAAAAATCAATTTATCAATTGAATAAAAGTACACACGGAAAATAATTATACACATAATTTAGTTTTATGCAGCAGCGATGACAAAATGAGATTTACCTCTCTTTGGGTACGTTACCATTGGTTTCCAGTTCGAGATCCTTTAAGTGGTTTGATAGTTCATTTTCGGTATCCATGCTGTGGTGAGGACAATAAATGGGATTAAAAATAGTTTAAGTCAAATTTGAAGAGGATAAAATGCAGGAAGACGGAAAGGTAATTTATAACTCCGAACGAAAGTATAGGTTAGAGACGAAATTTTACTGCTTTGGAACGTGCAAGGCGTACCCACTGGCCAAATCAGTATAATAAGAGCAAGTGTTTCGTGATGACCAAGGCCATGTAAATGAAGGGCTTCGATAAACCATCTTGGATATAATCTATGAAGATCTCTTCTGTTTTTTAATATTTTTATCGTAAAAGGAGGGTTGTGGTTGAGGAGCTAGGAATAGCCCTTGGAAACGCAACACCTAATAAGTAAGGAGTTGGTTCTGTGGAAACTTGAAGATAGGAAGGTCAGACACTTTGTAAGATTAAACTAATGTCGTGTCCAAAATATAAAGACAAGCTCAGCGATATTAGTTCTAGAAGTCGGCATTTTCGAATGCGCTCTTATAAAATTATGTAACCTATTTTATCGGTGGGACGCTTTGAGAGAATATTTACGATTTGTCACGAAGGTGTTGGAATAAGATAGATTTAGAGTATTTCTAAACACTTTATCTTTCTAGAATTTGAGACCTAAATATAGTTGACATCGTTTTGACATACTGCTGGCTCGAAATGTAGTGAATCAGCTATCCTTTTCTATATAATACACGTTTAGATTTCACTAGCGTTGCTGTCAGTTAATTGTTTAATTTTATTGTAAAAATTGCTGTACATGAATAGTCCAAACAAACCCTTACTTTAGAAGTTATTCGCAATCAAAGAAGGTAATTCTTATTCTATATCACGATCGATCTCTCTTAAGTAAAAAGCATAAAGCTAAAAAATATATGTATATATAGGCTACTTATTTGGTCAACCATTCGCCTACAGAGTAAATATGTTTACGTCGTGGGTGCCAACGATTTACGGAATTTAATTTGTGAGCTTCAAGTAGGCTTCTGCATATGGATTTAGGGTGAATTAAATCCGATGGTGAAAAGCATGCTTATGAGTACTTACTTTTTAAATACGCTTTATCAAATCTTACGGGCAAAACCTACTTCATCGACAGTTATTGCAACCGGTTCATACAATTAGAGAAGCGCGTATTCTTCTTATCAGAGAAAATAAGTTAAACAAAACTGGTAAACAGCTGCATCGTATATGCGGAGATTCACACCGAATACATGCTGATAGCAGTCAACGCAATAGCAACCCTCCATGGTGCCCTCTGTACGCTACCTTTACTTGATAGTCAGAGCGATTAGGTATGGAAGAATTTCAGCAGAGGCTTTCCACGTGGAGAAACTGCTTTCAATTCTTATTAAGTAAGTTATACATTTAATAATAATCTTTTGGTTTTAAAATGTTTCTAAATTGCCGAATAATTTTGAAACCTGACTGCTACATTTGAATTCAAGGTTTAAAAACTGCGCCCTATGTATATCCTGTTTAAGGGAACGTATGTTTTCGCCTACAGTTTGAGGAAGAAGTCACATAATCCTCATAAACTGTTGCAATAGATGTAACGTATGTTCCATGTTGTATATGCAGTACTACTAAATTGACGGATACTGTGTACTATGAATGTAATATGAATCGTAAAAATGCTCATAATTAGAAATGTTTCTAAAACCGAAGTTTACCCGTTCTTTAAGTATAAAATTTAAAGATGGCGTGATTTCCTAACAAAGGAGTAGAAGAAATAGATTTTTCATGCATGTTTTCCATAAAATATATTTGAATGTATAAAGGCAGTCAAAATCAATCATAAAAACGCATACTATTTATGTAGTTACTTTTTACAGTGCATACGTTTTGGTAATAGTCAGAGCGAAGCTCATTAAAAAGCCCGAAACT